GTATTGCGCCTCCATGCAAAAAACCTTAGCTTTCACTGCTGCGAGATTGTGACGCCAGCCGGGGTGACGAGCGCGCACTTGCTCGTAGAGCATGACGTCCCGGTTTTGGCCTTGAAGACGGCTCTGACTCTGACACTGCTCATCGAAATCATGGTGGATCCACGCCAGCTTCATAACTTCCTCCGCCTGCCATCCCTTTTTGTCGGTCGGCATCGCCGCGTCAGTGTCGTCGTCAGCGGCGTCGTCGATGTCGCAGTCTAGCTCGCATGCGTCGAAGTAGGCGAGGGTGTCGTCGTCTGCGCCCAGTGGGGTGGAATGGGTTGGCACACGAGCTACGATAGAGTCCAAATCTATCACTTCCAGTCTTCTGGAAGCGGAGGGATCTACGGCCCTGAGGCGAGGGTGCGTGGACCGGGGTTGCGACAGTTGCGGAGGTAGTGGCTGCTGGGGCTGTTGCATCTATGGGTGTGGCCGAGCCATTGGCGCTAGAATCGCCGATTGTCATTGCTACTAGACTATGGAATGGGATTGAGCTCATGTTCCGCGATGCATCCACATTTGAGCACCTTTTGCGATGCACGCTACCAAATGTCTGACATTTGGTATGGGGGACGTGGTTGGGGGGATGGCGGGATTTTTTTGGCGTACGTCAAGGCGGCAACGAAACGGTGCCTAGATGGGGTGTACGTGCCACGATTCTGGACACGTGGCTTCCGCTCAGTGCACGAATACTGGGATGTCTTTGTTGTGCCACTTCAAGTACTCGCGAATCGCTCGCCCGTTTGGCCTGCTGTTCGAACGTGCTGAAAAATCACACACGGGCGTGTGTACGTGCCCACACACGTTCGCAACTCAAACTCGAGTCAAGTTCAGCTATGGAGTTCGAATTTCAATGTTCCCAATTGTATCGATCATTTCGTTAATTTGAACCAGCGAAATTGGCGAAACAGGTAACCACACAAAGTTCGAACCTTTTTCCGAACTTCTAGACAGATCACACCCGCCCTTAAGAAAAAAAACCCTGAAAAATCAGTGTTGTCACCAGAAAAAAATCTTTCTCATTAGTGTAGGTACAAAATTTTAGATTGATTTAACCAACCATAAAAAATGTTGCAGTATGCATCTTTTTGTTTAGGTTAACCTTTAATGTTAAGGGAAGGGGAGGGGGGAGGGAGACAATGGTGCAGCAAGAGTGTAGGTACAAGGGGGGGGCAGCAGGGGGCTGAAGGCAGTCTCGAGAGTAGGCTGCTTTGTCAGAATCCCAGCCACTAACCACTAGGATAAAAGGGCTTGTTTTGTGTAATGGGTGAGTGTGCCCATAACCCATCAGGCGGACGTGCATGTAACCCTTCCCTAAGATCAATCGGGGATCTCCAGTGGACCTCTGACACCCCCCCGCACTGGGATGCCCGAGGTGCACACACCGGAATTTTAACCCGAGACCTTCGCTCTGATACCATGTCAGAATCCCAGCCACTAACCACTGGGATAAAAGAGCTTGTTTTGTTTAGCGGGTGAGTGCGCCCATAACCCCCAGGCCGACGTGCCTGTAACCCTTCCCTAGGATCAATCGGGGATCTCCAGTGGACCTCTGACATGCCTCACAGTTCCGCCAGCTCGTCTTGGGGCAGATTCAATCAAAGATCTGCTGGATGCGGTGCTTCGGTGGCCTGTCGCGAGGAAGAGGGGGAGAAAAGGGGGGGGTAATGGGGAGAGAGTAGAGTGAGTGGAAGAGCGAGAGGGATTGGGCACATATAGAAAAAAAACGTGGTTTGGGAGAGGTGAGAGGGAGGGCGTTAACAGCAGGCGGCAGGCACAAGGGGGGGCAGCATTGCGGCAGGGAGGGGTGTCATAATATTGTGCTGTGTAGGCTGTAGTGGGGTAGCCAATATGGGGTACAACCCAGTTAGGGTTAGTACTTGTACCAAACTGTTTCATAGTTCATCCACTCCTGCTGTTAGTTTCTGACATGGTATCAGAACAGGTCCTGTTCCAGGACCGTTCTCGTTAGGGCCCACCGATCGTACCCTGCCCGTCGCGCTGCCCCACCACACGCGCATGCCCTGCCCTGCCCTGCGTTGCGCCGCCCCGCGCACGCCCTGCCCTGCCTTGCGTTGCGTCGCGCTGCCCGCCCTGCCCTGCGTCGCGCCGCCCGCGCGCGCCCTGGCCGCGTCGTGTCGCCCGTGCGCGCCCTGCCCTAAGTCGCGCCACCCCGCACACGCCCTGCCTGCGTCGCGCCGTGCGCGTACGCCCTACCCTGCCCGTCGCGCCGCCCGCGCACGCCTTGCCCCACGTCGCGCTGCCCGCGCTCGCCTTCCCCTGCGTCGTGCCGCCCACGCTCGCCCTGCCCTGCATCACGCAGCCCCGCGCACGCCCTGCCTTGCCCGCGCGCCACACTGCTGGCCGCACGCTGCCCTTTTTCTGCCCGCGCGCTGCCCTGCCAGCCGCGAGCCGCCCCTGCCTGCCCGCGCGCAGCACTGTGCAGACCCGCGCCCCGCATCGCTTGCTGCGCGCCGCTCCTACTTGCCTGCGCGCCGCCCTTTTGCAGCCCGCGCGCCGCCCTTGCCTGCCCATGCGCTGCCCTTTACAGCCCACGCGCTACCATTCTGCCCGCGCGCCGCTCTGCCCTGCCTGCGCACTGCCCTTCCCTGCCCTACGCGCCATCCAGTTTGAGACCTGGCTAGAGGACTTACAGCTGTTCTTACTGGGCGATTCTAGAGACAGCGTTTCGTTGTTTGACCATACGTCTGGAGCCTCTCTCGCCCCTTGTGAGAGTACGACGGCTTATGCCAGCTATGCATGTCAAACATTATTATATGTTGTGTTTGTGTAGGCTGTAGTGGGTTAGCCTATAGGGGGGTCACAACATTAGGGTTTCATATTTGTACTCACAATCCTTTCTAGTTCACCATTCCTGCTCAGTTCTTCTGACATGGTTTCAGAGCAGGTCCTTCGCTAGGACCTAATTCTCCTTCGGGCCCACCACTACTTGTCAGAGGTCCACTGGTGATCCCCGATTGATCCTAGGGAAGGGTTACAGGCACGGCGGCCTGGGGGGTTATGGGCGCACTCACCCGCTATATAAACAAGCCCTTTTATCCCAGTGGTTAGTGGCTGGGATTCTGACATGGTATCAGAGCGAAGGTCTCGGGTTCGAATCCCGGTGTGTGCACCTCGGGCATCCCAGTGCGGGGGGGTGTCAGAGGTCCACTGGTGATCCCCGATTGATCCTAGGGAAGGGTTACAGGCATGGCGGCCTGGGGGGTTATGGGCGCACTCACCCGCTACACAAAAAAGCCCTTTTATCCCAGTGGTTAGTGGCTGGGATTCTGACACTACTTACCCTCTACTAGCGCCCTCGTGCGCCCTACTGTCGGAGCGCGCCTTAGCGCCTCCCCCGGCGCCCTCGTGCGCTTCTTTTTTTTTTTTTTCGGCCCCGCTGGCCCCGTCGATCGCGCGCGCGCCCCGCTTAAGGCCCCGCTGGCCCCGTCGATCCCGCGCGCGCCCCGCCTAGAGGCCCCGCCGGCCCCGTCGACCCCGCGCGCACCCCGTCTAGAGCCCCCGCCGGCCCCGTCGATCCCGCTCGCGCCCCGCCTAGCGGCCCCGCCGGCCCGTCGACCCCGCTCGCGCCCCGCCTAGACGCCCCGCCGGCCCCGTCGACCCCGCTCGCGCCCCTCCTAGACGCCCCGCCGGCCCCGTCGGCCCCGCTCGCGACCCACCTAGAGGCCCCGCGACCCCGTCGACCCAGTGCGCACCCCGCCTAGAGGCCCCGCCGGCCCCGTCGACCCCGCGCACTCCCTGCTTAGAGTCCCCGCGCGCGCCCCGCATATAGGCCCCGCCGGCCCCGTCGACCCCGCGCACCGCCTCTTAGCGGCCCTGTCGCTACTGCTGCTACTGCTACTGCTACTACTGCTACTACGGCTACTGCTGCTACTGCTACTGCTGCTGCCACTATGGCTAGTCCGCCTGTACTCGCTTTCGATGCTGAGGGCCGCCCAGTGAAGTTCGACACCTGGCTAGATGACCTGCACCTCTTCCTACAGCTCACTGCCAAGGAGGACATCTCACTGTACGACCACGCCCTAGGCCATGCTACTGCCCCTGACACGTCTGCTGACAGCACTCTACGCTCTCAGTGGCAGACTCGTGATGCGCACGCTCGCTTTGCTATTCGCAACTCCCTGCCGCTAGACGAGCGTGAGCACTTCGGCCAGTGCAAGACTGCTAAGGACCTCTACACCGCTGTAGTTGCCCGCTACTCCTCACCCGCTTCTGCTACGCTAGGCCGCCTCACTCTCCCCTACCTGTTCCCCGACCTAGCCTCCTTTCACACTGTCGCAGACCTCATCACCCACCTTAAGACTAGTGAGGCCCGCTTTCGCGCTGCTATGCCTGCCGAGTTTCTCACTAGCAACCCCCCCCCGCTCTGGATCACTCTCTACCACATCGTCACCCGCCTCCCTGACTCTCTGCGCGCAGTCAGGGACCACTTCCTCTCTCGCTCCCCCACTGAGCTCACTGTTGCCCTCCTCGAGAAGGAACTGCTTGCAGCTGAGGCGAGCATCGTCGCTGTAGGCACCTCTCGTGGCGACCCCCGCACCCCGTTCTTCGAGGGGTGTTCCCCTTCCCCCCTCCTCCCCTCTGTCGCCTCTGCTGCTGCTGTCGACCTCCTTGGTGCTGAGAAGGTCGGGACCGCGTCTGCTTCGAGCGGGCGCCGCAGGAGCAAGGGAGGCAGGGGTGGGGGTGGTGGCGGAGGAGGTGGGGGTGGAGGCGGTGGGAGTGGAGGCGCGGCTGGGGAGGCTAGTGGCGGCAGTGGGGGAGGAGACAGCAGCGGCGGGAGCGGTGGCAGGGGTGGAGGCGCAGCTGCTCGCCTAGCCATTCGCAGTCACCTCCCGCTAGCTGAGCTCGAGCATTTTGGCGACTGCAAATCCGCTAAGGCCCTGTACGATGCTGTCGTCGCTCGCTACTCCTCGCCTGCCACAGCCGAGCTTAGCCGCCTCATGCTGCCGTACCTGTTCCCCGATCTGTCCACCTTTACTACAGTCGCCGATCTTATCACCCACCTTCGCACTAGTGATGCTCGCCTGCGTGCCGCCCTTCCCACCGAGTTCTGCGCTAAGAACCCCCCTCCACTGTACTGGACACTCCACTTCATAGTCACCCGTCTCCCTGACACCCTCCGCTCAGTTCGAGACCACTTCCTTGCTCGCTGTCCCACTGAGCTCACAGTCGCCCTCCTAGAGGAGCACCTGCTAGCGGCCGAGAAGAGCATTGTAGCTGTCGGTGCTGCTCGTGGCGCTCCTCGCACCCCCATCTTTGAGGGGTGTTCTCCCTCTCCCCTCGCTCCCTCCTACGCTGCTGCTGCTGCTGTTGACTTCCTTGGTGCTGAGTCTGTTGGCGCTGCTTCTACTCCTGGTGGGAGGCGCCGCACCGGCAAGGGCAAGGGGGGCAAGGGTGGTGGTGGTGGCGCTGGGGGGGGAGGAGGTGGGGGAGGTGGGGGGGGAGGCGGTGCTGGAGGGAGCGGTGGCGGGAGCGCTGGTGGGAGTGGGGTCGGTGGTGGAGGCGGGGGCGGCGGAGGAAGCAGTGGCAGTAGTGGCGGCGGCGGCGGTGGCGGCGGTGGCGGTGGTGGCGGTGGTGGCAGTGGCGGTCGGAGCGGTGGTAGTGGTGGCGGCGGAGGTCGGAGTGGAGGCACTGGCTCGGGCCAGAGCTCCCAGCAGCAGCAGCGTCCCCAGACGACCCAGCAGCTTCGTGAGTGGCTTGCTCAGCGTGGGACGTCGGGGGCCAGTGGCCGCTGTTCTTATGTCATTCGCACAGGTGACCGCAAGGGACAGACGTGTGGGAGGTTCCACACCCCGTACCGCTGCTTCTCCCGCCTTGACGACGCTTGGCGTGAGGAGATGGGTGCGGATGTTGAGCGCCCCCGCTGGGCTGAGCTCATGAGGGCTGGTGTTGATGTCTTTGCTCTTGACTATGATGCTATTATTGCTGCCATGTATGCATTGACTGTTAGTGCCGAGGGAGACTGTTACTTGTGTGTGCCGCCTGACCCAGGTATAGAGCCCGCTGCCCTGGGTACTAGTGAGTCTGCTCTCTCTGGTATGGTGCCCCCTGTACTTGCTCCCCCCAGTGCTGTCCCGGCTGCTCTCGAGTCTGCTCTCTCAGGTACAGCACCCACAGAGACTGCTCTCTCAGGTACCGCACCGGCTGAGGCCTGTCACACCTTCACCCTTGACTCAGGTGCTTCCCGTTGCTTCTTCCGTGACAGTACTGAGCTCACACCGCTTCCTGCACCGGTCCCAGTCTCCTTGGCTGACCCCTCTGGGGGCCCAGTCCTTGCCCAGTCCACCACTGTCCTCCCTTGTCCGGCGGTTCCGTCTGGCTCGTTGTCGGGTTTCCACCTCCCCTCGTTCTCGACGAACCTGGTGAGCAACGCTGTCCTCCAGGATCAGTGGGTTGACACCTTTACCCCTGGCGGACAGCGTGTGGCGATCTGCACGTGCTCCAGGACCGGCCGTCACCTGGCTACGTTTACCCGTCGGCCGGGGTCGAGTCTCTACACACTGACCACTGCGTCTCCTCAGGTAGCTGCTGTCGGTCAGGTGTCTGCGTCAGGTCTGGTAGCCCACGCCTGTGAGTGTCGTTCCCTGTCGCACCAGACTCTTCTCTGGCACCACCGCCTGGGTCACCCCTCCTTGCCACGCCTTCGTGGCATGCACCGTCGCCACCTTGTGTCCGGTCTTCCCAGGTCCCTCCCTCCCCTCCCTGCCTCGCCTGCGCCGCCTTGCCTTCCTTGCGTCGAGGGGCGGCAGCGCGCCGCTCCTCACTCCTCCTCGTTCCCCCCGACAGAGGCTCCTCTGCAGACCCTCCACCTGGACGTGTGGGGCCCAGCCCGCGTTCGTGGTCAGGGCGGTGAGCGGTACTTTTTGCTGGTTGTCGACGACTACTCGCGTTACACCACGGTCTTCCCCTTGCGCACCAAGGGTGAGGTCCCTGCTGTTCTGATCCCTTGGATCCGCACGGTTCGTCTCCAGCTCCGCCGCCGTTTCCGGACGGATCTTCCTGTCCTGCGTCTGCACTCTGACAGAGGTGGTGAGTTTTCCTCCGATCTCTTGAGGACCTTCTGTCAGGCGGAGGGCATCGAGCAGACCTTCACGCTTCCGGACTCCCCACAGCAGAATGGGGTTGCTGAGCGCCGCATTGGCCTGGTCATGGAGGTCGCTCGTACCTCCTTGGTCCACGCGGCGGCTCCCCATTTTCTGTGGCCGTTTGCTGTCCGGTACGCCGCGCATCAGCTCAACCTCTGGCCCCGTGTCTCCTTGCCGGAGACCTCGCCCACACTGCGTTGGACGGGGGAGGTTGGCGATGCGTCGCGCTTCCGGGTGTGGGGTGCTCGTGCCCTTGTCCGCGATACGTCCGCGGACAAGCTCTCCTCCCGCACGCTTCCCTGTGTCTTCCTTGGCTTTGTCCCTGACGCGCCTGGCTGGCAGTTTTACCACCCCACCTCGCGCCGGGTCTTCGCCTCTCAGGATGTCACCTTTGACGAGTCGGTCCCTTTTTACCGTCTCTTCCCCTACCGCACTGCCCCCCTCCCTCCCCCGCCGCTTTTCCTTGCTCCTGGTCCCCCTCCGGTAGACCCCCTCCCCCCTCAGGGTCCTGCCCCTTCAGGTGTCTCTCAGGTAGACCCTCCTCCCGTCGCTGAGCCTGTCGAGGTCACAGGTGACTCAGGTGCTGCTGCGGGTGGTGCTGCTGGGAGTGCTGAGCCTGGGGGTGCTGAGCCTGGGGGTGCTGGGCCTGGGGGTGCTGGGGCTGCAGGTGCTGGGACTGAGGGTGCTGGAGCTGAGGGTACGGTGCCTGAGAGTACGGAGCCTGGGGGTGCTGGAGCTGAGGGTACTGTGCCTGAGAGTTTGCCGCCTGGGGGTGCTGAGCCTGGGGGTGCTGCGACTGGGGGTGCTGAGCCTGCGGGTACTGAGCCTGCGGGTACTGAGCCTGGGGGTGCTGCTACTGAGCCTACGGAGCCTCGGGTTACTGCGTCTGGGGGTGCTCCGGTTCGGGGTGCTGAGCAGTCTCTCACACCGCAGCAGCTTCGTGACTGGTACGTCCGACGCTTTCGCCGTCCTAGTGGCTCGGCTGGAGTTGGGGGTGCTGGAGCTGCTCGTCCTGGGGGTGCTCGTACTGGGGGTACTGGAGCTGCCGGGACTGGCTGTTCTGGGAGCACTGCGACTGGAGCTGCTGGAGCTGGGGACTCTGGCGCTGGCGGTGCTAGCGAATTTGGAGCTGCCGACTCTGGGGGTGGCGCTGCTGCTGGTGCTGCGGACCCACCTGGTGGAGCTGCTGCTGGTGCTGAGGAGTCGGACGGTGGAGCTGCTGCTGGAGCTGGGGACCCGGCCGGTGGAGCTGCTGCTGGTGCTGTGGACCCGGACGCTGGAGCTCCTACTGGTGCTGAGGACCCGGCCGCTGGAGTCCCTTCTGCTTCTGGAGACGCTGCGCGGCCGCGACCGTACTTCGTACCGCTCCTTCAGCAGGTTCTTGGGCAGGCTCCTCCTCCTTGTCCTCCTCCCTCCGTAGAGTGTCCTCCGCCTGTCCAGCCGCAGTCACAGTTACCGCCTGCCTCGCCTCTCCCTGCTCCCTCTCCTTATGCTGGTCCCACAGGAGGTCTTACAGAGCGTCGTGAGCCTGAGTCTCGTCATGCGTCGCCTGTTCGTCCTGCTCGCACTGGTAGTCGTGTCCGTCGTGAGCGTCCTCCTCCTGTCCCAGGCACTCACTACATGACTCTGCGTCCCTCTACTGCTCCTCGGCGTGTCCCTCTACCGTCTCCTCCTGCGTCCTCTTTGCCTGCCGTTCCGGACCCTGAGTCTGACCGGTATCGCGCTGAGCACCCTACAGTCACGCGTCTCCTCGCTACTGTTGTCACTGACCCTACCTTTGAGTCCTCGGCTGCGTCTGCTCTGGTCGCTGAGTTGGTTGACTTTGCTGCTGCCTGTCGTCTAGACTACGCTGCTAGCCTTGTTGCTGAGTCAGAGTCTGCGTCTGTCTGTCCTCCGTCCGTCGGGGGTGAGTGTGCTCTTGGCACGGACGTCCTTGAGGACAGGCAGGAGGACTTTGACTCTCTTGCGGCTGCTGTACCTCATCTCGTGGCCTGGTTGCTTGCCCCTGAGGGAGACCCGGATGCACTAGACATCCCCACTCCGCGCACTTACGCAGAGGCGATCTCGGGTCCCTACTCCTCTCAGTGGCAGACAGCCATGGACGCAGAGATGGCATCCTGGAAGTCCACAGGCACCTACGTCGACGAGGTTCCCCCTCCTGGGGCGAACATCGTCGATGGCATGTGGATTTTCAGGGTGAAGCGGCCGCCAGGTTCTCCGCCTGTCTTCAAGGCTCGTTACGTTGCTAGAGGCTTCAGTCAGCGTCAGGGGGTCGACTTCTTCCAGACCTTCTCCCCCACCCCGAAGATGACCACTCTTCGGGTTCTGCTGCACGTTGCTGCTCAGCGTGACTACGAGCTTCACTCTCTTGACTTCAGCACAGCGTTCCTGCAGGGCAGCCTGCACGAGGAGATCTGGCTGCGCCGCCCACCTGGCTTTACTGGGTCGTTTCCCCCTGGTACCCAGTGGAGTCTCCGCCGGCCAGTCTACGGTCTCCGCCAGGCGCCACGTGAGTGGCACGACACACTGAGGACTACTCTTGCGGCTCTTGGGTTCGCGCCGTCTACTGCTGACCCGTCGCTGTTTCTGCGCACAGACACGTCGCTGCCGCCGTTCTACATTCTCGTGTACGTCGACGACTTGGTCTTTGCTACTGCTGACACTGAGGCACTCGCTCGTGTGAAGTCGGAGCTGCAGAAGAGACACACCTGCACTGACCTGGGTGAACTGCGTAGCTACCTTGGCTTGCAGATCACCCGGGACAGAGCTCGCCGCACCATCACCCTGACTCAGTCACACATGGTGCAGCAGGTCCTTCAGCGCTTCGGCTTCCAGTTCTCCTCACCACAGGCCACACCTCTGGCTACCAGCCACTCGCTCTCAGCTCCACCTTCGGACGAGTCCGTAGAGCCGAGTGGCCCGTACCCAGAGCTTGTAGGCTGCCTCATGTACTTGATGACTTGCACGCGACCTGACCTCGCGTACCCTCTTAGCATCCTTGCTCGTTACGTTGCGCCTGGGAGACACAGGCGAGAGCACTGGGAGGCTGCTAAGAGGGTGCTGCGTTACCTGTGCAGTACATCAGGCATGGGGCTGGTGCTTGGAGGACGCGACAGAGTTGTCCTCACTGGTCACTCGGACGCCTCTTGGGTGGACGACCTGGCTACGCAGCGGTCGTCACAGGGTTACACCTTCAGCCTTGGCTCTGGTTCTGTCTCGTGGCGGTCCACCCGCTCTTCCTCTGTTCTCGGCTCTAGTTGTGAGGCTGAGATCTACGCCACAGCCATGGCTGCACAGGAGTTACGCTGGCTCACCTACCTGCTGACTGACTTGGGAGAGCGGCCTAGTTCTCCTCCAGTTCTGTACGGTGACAACAAGGCGGCTCTTGCCTTGTGTCAGGAGCACAGACTGGAGCACAGGACGAAGCACATTGCTCTTCGCTACTTTCTTGCTCGAGAGCTTCAGCAGCGCGGTCAGCTTCGGCTTGTGTACGTGGACTCGAAGGCCAACACTGCTGATATCTTCACCAAGGCGCTCCCGCCTAGTGATCATCAGCGGCACTGTACTTCTTTAGGCCTTGTGTCCACGTTTCCTCACTTGCTCACTGCTTGACATTCTTTGTACTGTACTTTATATATATCTTGTTGCTTGCTTGCTAGGTTTTGATCACTGTGTTGCTTGTCTTGTACTATATCTAGCACTGCATGTGAACTGGCCTTGTGGCCTTTACTTGTGCTCGGAGTGTGGTGACGTTGTGATCCACCCTGGGCTTTGTTTTGCTTTGCTGGACTGGTCTTGTGACCCTTTGTTCTCCCCCACTTTGCCTATGGGGGTGTGTTAAACTGTATTATGCTTGTAGGCTGTTGTGTGGTAGCCAATATGGGGTACAACCCCAACTAGGGTTTCATATTTGTACCCAAACTTCTGTTAGTTC